TCCGGGTTCTGTCTGGGCCCGGTTCTCCTGTCCGGGTTCTGTCTGGGCCCGGTCTCCAGCGGTTCTGACGGGCTCTCTGATGGGGACCCACACCTCTGCTGGTCTTTGGCTTGGGGCTCTAATATCCGCTGCGGTTCTGCGGGTCTTTGTGAGGAAAGCCGAGCCCCCGGCGCCGCGGGGGATCCGGGCCAGCGGTTCTGACCCAGTTCTGACCCGGGAGCGGCTGTGTGGACAGCTGATTCTGGTTCCTGCAGGATGGGGACAGCATGAGCTCTGGACCTCCTCCAGCTGAGCACACGTCCTGCTGCTGTTTGGGCCGACCCGCCAGAACCGGCCGGTTCTGTTAGTTATTACAGAACCTCTGGGATCAATTAGAAAACAATAAAACTGGAATTAAAGACAGAATCCCCCAGAGCCCACAGAGACGACCCCAGAGGCCAACCAAAGAGAGAAGAGAAACCCGGACAGAGATGCTGCTCCGGTTCTGGCTTTGGTTCTGGGGCTGGTTCTGGTTTTGTGTTGTTCTGTCTCTGGCTCTGGCTCTGGTTCTGGTTCTGGTTCTGGTTCTGGTTCTGGTTCTGGTTCTGGTTCTGGTTCTGGTTCTGTTCTGGTTCTGGTTCTGGTTCTGTTTCTGTTCTGTTCTGTTCTAGTTCTGTTCTGGTTCTGTGCTGTTCTGGTTCTGTTCTAGTTCTGTTTTGGTTCTGGGTTTGGCTCTTCTGTTCTTAGCAGAAACAAAACTGGAACACAGAACCAGAACCTCTAAGTCCTGGGCAAACGGCAGTCCGTCTCTCTGTCGTCTGATTGGCCAAAATACCATGAGTGGATCCTGTTATTCCATGTAGAACCAAAAACAGAACCGGGGCCGGTCTGGACCCCTGGTTCTGTCTGGGCTGTGGTCAGGGCTGGGTCTGCTTCTGAGCTGGAGCCAGAACCTGAGGTCCAGAGAGGTTCTGGCCACATGGCTCACAAATTCTGACCCGGATGTGTGTGAGTCCACTTTTTGGTGAATTCTGAGCCGGGCTGGTCGATCCGATATCTGGATCCGATTGTCCGGCAGGAGAAAACACAGATCCAGACTCCAGATCCAGTTTTTATTTAACCCCGATCCCACAGGACCGATAGCATTAGCATTAGCATCTGTAACCACAGGTCTGTGTGCTAACCATTAAGTTGTTATCAGGTTTTAGCGTTAGCATTAGCATCTGTAACCACAGGTCTGTGTCCTAACCATTAAGTTCTTATCAGGTTTTAGCATTAGCATTAGCATCTGTAACCACAGGTCTGTGTCCTAACCATTAA